AACTGATTGTCTCTGTTTGCTGCTCACAATTCGAAGTCAATGAATTTCTTGAACCCATGCTACATTTGCTAAATTACTGTTAGCACTGCATAAAGAAGGACAGTTTATTCTTCCTTGGCCAGGAAAATAATCGTTCCTTGAATTGATAAATGATTATATTGTCTGCCCGGTGGATGGACAGATCAAATAATTGTAATATTGATTCTGCTACAGTTAATTCGAAGATATAATCTAAATATTTATTATTAATCATAACCAGTTATAATTAGTCATAAATATTTCCCTTGTTGAGCTGAAAAACCCTACATTGTCTTTTGATGAACGAAAACATGTTCTATCACAGTAGCTCAAAATTGACCACAAATTACTACTCTGCTTTGCTCTTTGCAATTTTTTTTGTACTTCCTCCTCCTCTTCCTCTTTCTTGCGCTCCTCCTCCTCTTCCTCTTTCTTGCCCTCCTTCTCCTCGTCGCCCACCTCGCATACGCACTCGTCCTCGTCCTCTCACATTGTTTCTTCTATCCATTCTCAGACTTTCTCCTTCCCACCTTCAACAACCTGTTTGCTCTCTGAACTGGCTTATATTGGTTGTGTCACATCATTTGAAACAGGTTAAATCAATTTTGAGTGGTTGTGTTCTATCAATGACATGTGTTCTCTATTTGTATTTGATTGTTGCCACTTGTGTTTACCAGTATGGATGACATGTGCATTAGAGTGCAGAATGTGTTTTGAGAATGAGAATGTGTTTAGAGTTTTCCTGAAAAGTCTAAGTGAGATCTGCAAATTGTGATTTACCATGTGAAATGGTGTAAGGAATTGACAACAGACTGCACAATTAGCTAAATGAGTTCAGGCAACTGAGAACTTTGTTCAGCCAATGGGTTTTAGTGTTTTAGCAATCGAGAAAAACTGTAAAAAGAGGCTTTTCTTGCATTGGCCGGGAATCGGACACGAGTCTCCCGCGTGGCAGGCGAGAATTCTACCACTGAACCACCAATGCTTGATTGGCTCGAGGAAATAAATGCGCAACGAAATGCAGCTGGAGCTCCCTCAAATAAGAACCACAAACAACTTACTTAAAAGGAGGCTGTTCTTGCATTGGCCGGGAATCAGAAACGGGCCACCCGCGTGGCAGGCGAGAAACCTACCACTGAACCACCCATGCTTGACTGGCTCGAGGAGATACGCAAGTCTAGGAAGAGATAAATTGAACAAGTTCCATAGGCATTTGATGAAAAGAAATGGACTAATGA